ACTCTCTCTTTGGTTCTCTGTGTATTTGCAGAGTGCGTGTCTTGTGACTCAGCTCTTGTGTAGCCATGGAGAAGCCCTGGAGGCTGTGGGGGGCAATGGAGCGCTGTACCCTGACTCTGGCTTCCTGGTCCTGGGGTGCCTGTCGAGTCTCTCTTTTGGCCCTCATCCTCACCTTCCACCTGTATGGAGGATTTTTTCTCCTTGCTCTCATCCTAGCATCTGTGGCGGGCATCCTCTACAAATTTCAAGATGTTCTCCTGTACTTCCCTGACCAGCCCTCCTCCTCTCGCCTTTATGTTCCCATGCCAACAGGAATCCCACATGAGAATGTATACATTCGCACCAAGGATGGTGTGAAGCTTAACCTCATCCTTCTCCGTTACACAGGAGGTGATGCACCTCCTGGAGTCACGTCTGGCAATCAGAGCAGCCCCACTTCCTCTGCTCCGCCTACTATCCTTTATTTCCATGGTAATGCAGGTAATATTGGTCACAGGGTGCCAAACGCCCTGCTGATGCTGGTCAATCTCAAAGCTAACGTGGTGCTGGTGGACTATCGTGGCTATGGAAAAAGTGAGGGTGAGCCCAGTGAGGATGGGCTGTACCTGGATGCCGAGGCCACACTGGACTACGTCATGACCCGTCCTGATCTGGACAAGACAAAGGTGGTACTCTTTGGTCGCTCATTAGGAGGTGCTGTGGCCGTGCGCTTGGCATCAGTCAACCCTCACCGTGTAGCAGCCATTATTGTGGAAAACACCTTCCTTAGCATCCCCCACATGGCAGCGACGCTCTTCTCCTTCTTGCCCATGCGCCTGCTGCCCTTATGGTGCTATAGGAATCAGTTCCTGTCCTATCGGCAGGTGGCGCTGTGCCGCATGCCTTCGCTGTTTGTGTCTGGTCTGTCAGACCAGCTCATCCCACCAGTTATGATGAAACAACTGTACGAGTTGTCTCCTGCGCGGACTAAACGCCTGGCTATCTTTCCAGAGGGCACGCACAATGACACGTGGCAGTGTCAGGGCTACTTTGCTGCTTTGGAGCAGTTCATGAAAGACCTGCTGAAGAGCCATGCCCATGAGGAGAGTGCTCAGCCCTCAGCGAGCGTCACCATCATCTGAAAAATCAGTCAGGGACTGACTGTTGATTACAGATTATGGGCTGGATGAAGTAAATTGATTGGAGGGACTTCATTGATTTTTTGGAAAGAATGTACATTTTTTTATGCTTTTGTCTGGGTTTTTATTTGATTTCACTCTTTTTACCTTTCTGTAAATTTAACATGTTAAACTATTTTCACTATTTCAAGGGTTTGAGAGAGGCTAACGATGTCCTCCTGGGGTTCTTTTTGTGTTTCAGCTATGAATGCATGTATTTATGACCTTTTATGAATGAAGCCAGAGCATACATGCCCACACCACAAGACATGTCACAACCACAGAAGAATTTGCTTTAGCGAGTCTGCTGAAATGGATCAAAATAAATGAAGCCGTTTTTCGTAGTATTGTGACCATATAAGGGCCTATGGTGTTTCAAACGTGATTATTACTGGAATAAAAATTACAGGTCATCTGATATACAAAATTAAACATTGATAATATGTAGGATAAACTGTAAATATATATATCTTTGTTAATACATTGCACTTTTCTGTCCAGATTTACCCATGTTTGATTATGTGGACTAACATCTTCTGAGCAATACTTTGAGGAGCTTAAGGAGTTTCTTTTCTCTCCCCTTTAGGCAAGGAACAGTAATATATATGTGCAACGGCTTGGCATATCCTGACATTGTAGTGATGAATATTTCCGTATACCCTTGAGAGTTTCGTCTGCAACAATAGCATAAAGCTTACTGTTGAATAATTATATTCAGCCACAAAAGTGTTCGTTGAGATGAAGTGGTCAGGAATGTAAGGTGACATGTTTTGATACTTCTGCCTTTCAAAAATAACTTGCTTTTTTGTCAGACTACTTCTGTTTCCTTGTGCTTAGGATAAGCTACAAGCTTTTCTCCCTTCTACTGTGTCCTGTTTAAACACAATTAGCACACAGGCTTGTCTTTATTTTTCAATGGGCTCCAGTTGCTGCTGCACAATTTTGGCTTCTTTAGTTTGTTAAGGAGCATTTGCTTTGTGTGGTTTGTTTTGTTTTACAGACGAGCTCATATTTTTTTTAAGGCTATCTTGGTGCAGTGCTACGATACATGTCTGTGCACTGAAATAGTTATTGGTTGCTGTAATCCTCAAGTCCCTGCTGACCATAAAGAGATAAATTCCTTAAGTGAACCGAAGTTGAAAAGAATTTGGGGCAGATTACACAGTCTGTCATTTTGTACATACAGTTCTGCTAATAAGGTAAGGTTTTAGTAATGCGATGGAGTGGGTGATTTCCAGAATGTTTGTTGGTTTTTTTTGGAGTAAAAAAAGAAAATCACTGTGTTCCTATAATCATCTACTGCAGGTCAACAGGAAACTGCAGTCTGGCACATTCCAATAAAGGGAATTTTTAAGAAAAATACTGAACTATGGCAAGTATCTGTCTAAGTCAGACTGCTAAAGCCTGAAATACCCTAGACACAGAAAGTAAAACATTGGTCTGGCACGAGCCTTAGTTGCATAAGGGAGGGGTTTCTGGATGGTCTGAAGAGTGATTACCACGACAAATAGCTTTTTCAAAGTACCTATTCAGTATATGGACATGTGAGTATAGTACTAAGGTAGTTTTTGAAAAAAATACGAGCCCGTCCTTTGAGAACTAGGAATAAAGTGTGAGCATTTTTAATCAAATGTTGTGTTTATTTGTTAGCTTTTATCATCAGCACTGTAATTGTGAATTGGAGGATCACGCCATGCTCATGTGGCAAAATGGCTTTACTCACTTGGAGGGCTTTTAATGAGCTAATTAACCTTTCCTGCATGTCTTCCACGGGGTGGAGCAGAGTCTGACAATTAAAACACTATTATCTGCTCTTGCTTTTCTAAATGCAGCACACTGCACTGCAGTGGTATTAAAGCCATTTGAATACACTCAACAGATCTCTTTAGCCATATTTGATACTGTTTGCAAACAGTACGCGAAACAAAATTTGACTACACCAAAAGTCTAAATTTGTGTGTGTCAATGTGACGACAACTTGAAAAACAGTCTGAAGGCTACTGTGAATGTAAATGGTGGTCTTAAATTAATGTGCTTTATAAAAATGGTGTATTAATAGTCTCTTCTCCCTTTTGTGTGACTTTTTTTTTTTTTCCACTCGTGACACTGAACAATTTCAGACTTCTTTTGTATTATATCCAATCCATATGCTGAGTTAGTGCACATTGTGCAGTCTGATTTCAACCACGTGCATATTCACTCCTTTTGTTCCACTAGCTATGTTTTATACACTTCTGCCGGTAGTTTGTTTGCATTGCACCATCTCTACATACAAGAAAATATCACGGAACTTGTTGCCATTCATTTGATGCATTGTTTCGTTGGTTGGCCTGAAGCAAATTGAATTATGAATAGAATATCATCCTAGACAAATGTATTGTTCCTGTCCAACACTCTGCTGATGAAAAGAAATGGAATCAAACTGAATGTCTTTTCATTTTTTATAGAACATCATTAGCCAGGTATCGTGCAAATGCACTATGGAACATGTTTTTTAAATGTTCATATGATTGTGAATTGATTGGAATGAATACTGTTACAAATGCTGGCATAATTTGGAATTTGCAAGTTGCCTTTGCAAACTGGCATGTGATTACATTAAGTCTTGGCAGTTATTTTGTAATGAACCTGCACAGTGTTGACATACTTTGTGTACATCTACCATGACTTACCGTGAGTCCACATTGAAGAAGCACTGATGGGATAGCTGAACAGACAGACACCTTCAGTATGAAGCAATCAGTTTGAGTGATTTTCCATTTCAGAGTTATGTTTCCTTTTCTATTTCAAAACAATGTCGACAACTTCTTTTGTAAGCACACATTTTCACAATTTTCTGTACTGTAACATGCAATAAATTGATACATTAAAATTTCTTTTCTTGTTTCCCCTTTTTTTATGCACCAGTTCTAAAATAATTCATGTAACCTGGCGTCAGTTCACTTTTTTTTATTCTGAGAATTTGTTTGTTTTGTCATGTTATGCGTTGAAGATGAAGAAAACTTTGTACTTCCTTGTTTCAGTACGTGTCAAATTTAGATGTTATGGTGTCAATAATAATGACGATTTCTCCTTATTAGTCTTACTTCACTTCATCTATTTCATAACCAGGCTGTTTCTCATCATTCTGCCAAGGCTATTTTTTGTGCCCACTCACATGGATGATTTAATAAAATGTGGAGACCTTGAGATGCATTTTATCATGATGTAGACAGATTTGTCAGGTCTGCTGGTCAGGCAGGAAGCTGTGAGTGTGGTTAGCTGAGCGGAACAGTAGAGGGGAAGCTGTTGAGCCCTTTTTTGTACTGTATTTTTTCTGCGTAGTCCCGCAGACTCGATCCAACTACCGAAAGACAAAAGCGAAAGTTAAGGAAATTAGTCTCGCTTGAAGACAGGAGATAAGGCAAAGCCAGCAGCTCTTAAGGAAACTTGAAGAGATAAGAAAACAGCCACCATTCCTAATCCACGCAGAGAGGCAACGTGGTTCAGGCGACAGACTGGTCATGCTCCCAGCGTGATCTCTCCTGTGATTGTTCTGCCATGGCAGTTTTAGCAGGTGTGGATCCTGAGACTGGACAACGGGCAGGTGAAGGAAGGCTGTCCTGGCCGGTTTTCCTGCTGATGCTCGCCACCGTCACCTCCTCCTCTCTATCAGCTCTGTCTCTGTACCAGATGGTAGCTCTCAGATCTGAAGTGGAGGGACTCAAATTGGAAGTCGGTCGCAGGAGAGGAGAGGGTCAAGAGGCCAGGTACAGAGGCCAGGTGAGAGAACACCAGTCCCCGGGGACACAGCAACAAAGCTGTGAAGACATACAAGATATTGTATTTTCACTTGCGTTCACTGTGTTTGTAAGGGCTGTGTAATGTCTGCACAGTCTGGCAGTAGCAGGAGAAGTAGCCAGGAGACCCTGCACCATTCTGGATCTGAACATGCCTTCAGCCTGATAAGGAAGAGGAGGACATCGCCTGGAAACGAGACGTTTGGTAAGACGGATGTACTCGAACCTGGCAACTGACTTAACATTTAAGATGTAGTTTGAATTTTCTGTTCATATGAATCTGTTGCAGCAAGAGTTACATCATTTACTATATATATTGTATTTGTTTGAGTGTGTGTGACTGATTCTGTTTCTAGAGTTTAATTTCCTTGAATATATGTCAAGTAAAGTTAATTCATACGGCTGAAAGTCACAAGACTGTCTGACAATCTGCCTTTAGACCACTGGCAAAGAAAAAGAAAAGTTCCCCAAAAAAGTCTACCAAGTGTGAATAACTTACTAGCTTTCATATCCACAGGAAAAGTAGCACGTGTCATGTGGCGAGATGTTGCCACCACCTATCAAGTTTGTCCAAAAAGGAAAGGAGCAGAAGGAACCAGAGTGATAGCAATGGAATGAGCCATGTTCAGACAGTAGAGAAACAGTTGATCGCTTTAAACATCTCAAAATTCTTCTCTTATGTCTTGTGACAGTTTCTCAGCCGTGCCTGCAGTTGTTGGCAAACAGTAGCAGAAAACCCTTCAGGAGAGGTACAGTACATCATTTGGTGATTTGTTTTTTAATGTGAATTTCATGAAATGTTTACTTTTTTTTCCCCCCTCTTTTCGATGACTTTTGTCTTTTCACTCATCACAGCCACTATTACAGAGGCCAAACATATTTCACATTAAAGCTATATCAGCATGTATGCGGGAAACCCCAAGCAGCAACACAAACAGCTTGACTCTTGACACAAATGTTTAGATCATTTGGCGTGTTTTCTAATTAGATGTTCTATTTTGGATCAGAAATTTCATCAGAACTATACACAGGTATCCCTTGGCAGTCTGGGCTGAAGAGAGGCTCTGCCCTGGAGAAGAACAGTGACGGCATGTTAGTCAAAGAGGAGGGCTTCTACTTTGTGTACAGTCAGGTAGGGGCAGTTTTTTTGGTTGTCGTTTCACAGTTTTCCCACCAGGGGGTGCTACTAGTCTACTTGCAATCTGAGTTTTTTTTCTACACACAGTGCAGAAAAAAAAAGGGTGTGCTCAATGTAAGCATGCAGTTGGTTAAGAGACCTTGAGAAAAGGTCAGATAAAGAGAAAAAGCAACTTGTGCATGAATAATAAATGAGGTAGCAAATGTTATAGCACTCAAGCCTCGTGGATTTAACCCGGTAATTGTGATGTGTGCAGGTCTACTACATGGACAGCACCTTTGCAATGGGCCATGTGGTGATCCGGTGGAAGAAGAACGTTGTGGGAGATGAACGCAAATTTGTGTTTCTGTTCCGCTGCATCCAGACCATGAACCCCGAGTACGCTTTCAACACCTGCTACACAGGAGGTGAGCCTGTATTTATGGTCTATGTCCAGCTATGTTCAGCCTTTTCACAACAGCTGTTAGGAGGTCAGTCAGCGCGTCTTCCCCCCCTCAGGCAAGCTATCAAACGCGTGTCTGTTTGAGGCGGTCAATGTCAAAAAAGTCAGTTCAAGGTCTGAAATGGGCATTTGAATCCCTCAGGTATTGTGAAGCTGGAGGTCGACGACTACTTGGAGCTTCTGATCCCGCGGCCCGCAGCCAACGTGTCCCTGGATGGAGATTCCACCTTCCTGGGTGCTTTCAAACTGGCTTGAACTGCGTCACCTCACACATGACCCAAGGGATGCAGTTGCAGAAAAGAGTTGGCACCGTTGTTGGAGGAGGAGGAAGCAAAGAAGATACACAGTTCTGGTGACCTTGCATGACTTTTTGGTGTTGTAAGAAAAGTACAGGAAGCAGCCGTTTCTGCGCTGGCTGAGGGCCAGACTGTGTGACGTCGAGCTTGTTCGGCCTGACCTGATGTAAAGGGGACAATGAGCTGAGGGCATATTCTTTACTCTTTAGCTTTATTACGTTCATTTGTAGCACAAAAATGTTGTAGAAAAAAGAAATGTCAGAATCAAGTGTATTTTGTTCAAATAGTTATTGACATGGTAAGGTACAACTTATAGGAGAAGTGTCTTAAATCATTCTTATACTGTATAGTTCAACAATACTTCCCTCTGCAGCATTAGTTTGCCAACGGTTCTTATATGCTTTACTATTCTAGATATTTGCACATAAGCACGAGTGGTCTGATTTTATCATATGAATGTCATCATTTGAATTAACTGTATCTGTATATATCTGAGTGATATGGAAATTCTTTTGCAATAAAGTGACAATTCTCGCACAAGAGCTTCTTGGCGGAGGTTCCATTGTTGGCCACAAGACGGGAGCGCTTTTGTGTGGCAGAACAAAAGCAGAGAGAGAAATCAAGGTAAGCTTTGAGCAGGAACACTGAAAATCCAGCTTACGAGCAAATTTTCAGCTCGAGGCAAAACTGTAGGCAGATGATGTCTGCACTTTCAAAGGAGCTGATCAATGAGTTTGTCCTGCCGGAGGACCCCAGAGGAAACAGCGAAATATCTTCAGTGGGTAATTCTTCAGTTTGTATTATGTGAAGCTGGAGGCAGAGGGAGCGTTAGAACTGGGGCTGGGTTCTTACACAGTTTGGACAATGGATTTCAAGGACTTTTCCATTACTTTATAATAATTTTAATTACAGAACATTCTGCGAATTTGTTGTATATCATCGAATATGCTTATAATAGGTGGTGTCAAAATCAACTGCCATCATAATTATTTGTACTAGTACTACTTTTAGTGGTATTGTATTACGCTGATTGTGTCGGACAGATCATAAATGAATCAATCAAAGCAATTATAACTAAAAATCAACATCCTACACGAATTGTTAAAGGATCGGAAGAGTTTATTTTACGTGAGTTAGCTTGAATTTGGTGTATTCTGACACAAATACAGCTAATTAAAAATATACATGTCGTTATCCAACTGTTTTACTCACTCCTCATGTGCAGTACTGAGAAAAACACAAGTTGTTGACAGCAAAATCAGGTTGACATTTGATTAAGGAACAACGAAAACCACAGTCACCCTTCTGGAAAACCAGAGTGTTTTGTTTTGGATACATAATGTGGTTTCAGTAGAAACATTTCATGTCGCAACAGTGTAAAATCTAAAAAAGCTGTAATTTCGGCTCTAACATTTACGTCTAATCCTTATTGAAGCAGACTATTTAATTTTAAAATGTTTTTAACTGCTCTTAGTGAGATATTGATTCGTAAATTAAAACATCCTTCCTTTTTCAGATATCTAAAAAAAACTGAATTACTCCACACACCATCTTGTGATATTTCAGGCAGATATAACTTGAAACTGAACATATTTGTGATGGTGTTTTTGCTCTACCTGCTATATTCTGCCCTGTATTTCTGTGTAACATTCCCTCTCTCACACACAGGCCTTCTGTCCGTTGGGGCAAAGAGTTAGACAAAGCCCGGTGGGTGGTCACTTCTTCTCCAGGCACTTTGCCCTTGGAGTCATGGCTCCATTTGACAAGAAAAGAAATCAAAAGAGGGGGAGGGAAGTAGGAAATCTAAAATAGAAGTCTGGGAAAGAAAGATTTCAAATGGACTTAATGGATACTATTAGCGGAAGAGCAAGTGGAAAAGAAGAGAGAAGCAATGAGACTAAAATGCAAAGGGAGCACAGGCCAGACCCAGGGAACTCTAGCCACAGAAGTCAGAGACGCTCTTTGATGATCTGGTAAACAGAGCAGGCGGCTGGACAAACAGCAATTGAAAAAAAAAAAAAGAAGAAGAAGAAGAAGGAGGAGGAGGGTATAGGAGATGAGGGGAGTGGAGCCCAGACCTCTCCTATAAATGTGTCAAGCATGATGCTTCCCCTCCCTCTGGGCTAGAAATGTCTTTGTGTGGTGCCATGGTGACGGCTTGTGTGTTGGCGGAAGCTGATGTCATTGTGCGCTCGACTCTCAAAAGAGAAATCAGCATCTGACCGGAGAATCAGGAAATGAGACCTGCTGTGTACACATGCTGACACTGTGGATAGTTCACACACTTCAAGCACATGTTGAGGATACACAGAGATGTATTACTGAACATACAAGAAGCAGATGTTGCAAAAGTTTGAGGTTTTAAAAAATATGCTTTTTTGCTTTCCTGCTGAGACTCGATCGATTTTCATGTGTGTGGTCAGTGTAAAGCTAGCTGACAGCTAAAGTCTTTATAATAATTGTACTACCTTGCAAACATGACCACAGGCAGCTGCAGATACCATGAATGCATAATTATTGTTATTAAGGCACATGTCCACATGCATCCCAGTGACTACAAAGGCAACAGTAGGCAAGCTTGGTAGTTGTGTGTATACGCAGAGTATGCAGACATAATCCCATGCGGATGTATGAAACTAAAAAAGAAGCATAATAGCAACAACTACACAACCAAGGGTATCTGTACATGTGAGCATCCGCAAACCTTGATTATACTCCCATGAGGACGTGGACAGCTGTGGACAACAAGGACGCATAGTTGTGTTGCTGAACCTTGATCATACTTCAGTGAAGATGGACATGCACAGTTGCTATTGTTACTACTTCTTGCAAATCAAAATCTAACACGTGGAAAGTGTTTTGACAGCCGTTTACTACTTTCTATTCCTCTTGGAGGACTCTGATTCATACAAGTGCGGTAAATTGGTGCTCACGTGTTCCACTTAGACATCCTACTGCTGAGCATGCTCACTACCGCCTTCTTTGCAAGGTTGCTGTAAGGACACAAACTTTCAGGAGCACACAAACATCCACAAAGACATTCACGTGGGTTCTTACTGACTTGGGGAAAGCACCAAATTTAAATCACGCAGAACCTCACGTAGCCTACTTGTGGATGCGGGAAGTATAGCACTGACCAATCTCAGCTAAATGTCACAAGGACACCAGCTCACGCACTCAGGCACACATAAAGTATAACACCAACCTTACACTAGTTTGGCATGCAGTCAACTTGGAGAACCATACTGGTGTTGTAGATTGACGTCCCAGTGGTCTGCCGAGCATGGGCACTACTGTCCTCAGTCGCCATGCAGACACATGACACAAAGAGGTCCACGTGGACTCTAACAGACTTGTGGAAGGGAGTGAATTACATCACATGGACATTTTTGTATTTGTAGATGCAGGAAGGTTAACAGTGGCCTATCGTAGCTTGATTTATGGATCCTCTCAGACACCCCATACTCACATATTTTCGTATGCAGAAAGTCTAACAATGGCTAAGACTACTTTCTAGTTTGCTTGCATTAGAATCTTTTCCATACATGTGCAGTAGATCGGCATTTTTGGGTTCCACACACTCACGCTACTTCATGCTACTGCTGTTGTAGTATAGTGGCTGTACGGACACAAATGTGGAAATAAATTGTGGGATGAAGGGGGACATACGTGGACTGACTTGGGGAAAGGATGAAATTTAAATCGCTTACCCTTGCGTATACCACTGGGTTGCGCTGTCTTAGCTTAGCACAAAAGCTGTCTATAGCGCTTTTAAAGGTTGCTAAATAACAGGTTGTAGCTTGTTTCTTCACTCTAAGTGTAAAAAACAGGGTCAGACTAGGTGTTTCTCACAGTTAGGTGGCCGCTGGATGTGGCTTGCTGCACAGATACAAAGTAATATCAATCATCTCATCTAATGGGCATTTTCGCAAACTATGTAAAGTGTCCTTTAGGTGTAATGACCAATTTTTTTCTTCATTTTGTTGAAGCTACTTAGAGCACATAGTACTTAAAGCTAGACATTACTCAAGATCGCTCAGAGATTTGTTGCAGTGTAAAAGGGTAAATTCCAAGGAATCATCAGTTTCAGTTTATTAAATTCAGCCTCCATCATTCTCTCATTTTTCAGGCTGCATCGCCGGTGCAGCTCCATGTCCCCATTTGCACTGTAATTTCTTCCCTCCTCCCTCTCTCCCTAGTTCGGTCGCTTTAGGACAGGTCTTACTGATTACAGAGGCTAGAGGTGATCCCTGAATCCTGATTATAAAACCAAGCATGCTCTGTTTCTGCAACAAATCACCGCGCACACAAACAAACACGCTGCAGCTTTCGCAGACGGGGAATACATTTGCAGATGCACACAGACACTCATTCTGCTACATTTGCACACATTCACCTCTGCTGCCCTCCAGTAAATGCTGACAAAATTTGCAGCCCTCACATTGTCTCGCTGCGCTTTAATATACCACACGGTTGTTCCGTGTACATACTTATGTAGTATATGGGGATTACTTCGATCTGCTGCAGTCAGCCCAAAGTAATCAGGCTGATCCAGAGCCCTCCAGCTGAACTGGCAGCAACACCGCGTGGATTTCTCATTTAAGTGAGGATTTGGTTTATCGACAAACTGGATTGTACCATCCGTTACTCTAAAATCTAAACACCATGTTCACTGCTCGCCGTGCTGTAGTTTTTTTTTTTTTTTTTAATCGATTCAGCTTGAGAAGACACTAATTGTTTTTGATCTGAAACACATGACTGACCTGGCAGAATTAGAGGTTTATTTGTTTTTAAGTGTTATCACTTGATCAGGTTTAGGTTTTTTTGTGGTTTTTTTTACCCCCATCGCTACATAAGATCTGTCGAGTATGAGCTGATCTATAATTCATACGGATCTGCCTCTGCCTAGTATCAAACCACGATAAGATGGCAGGCGTGAAATCTGCAAGTGTACGAGGGAAGTAAGAACAGATTTAAAAGTTGTTCAAATTCCTCTTCATGAATCATGCTGCTTTCAGGCTTCTTTTTTTTTTTTCTTTTCAAAGGACGTGAACATGTTATAGAGAAGAGGGAAAAAAAACATCAGATAGATGAATGAAGAAGAGAGATTTTGGTTTGCCACATCTGTGCCCCTCTCACCCTCTTCTCACCGTCTCCAGATTCCCGCCCTCTTCTCTGCTTTACGGCTCCAAGATGGAGCTTCGGGAGACGCACAGCGAGACGGGAACATTTATCTACAAGCATACAAGCACATTTAGGTGCTGTTGGACCGAATGTGTTCAGTTTGTATACACTCTTGGCTGTGTGTTCTTTCATGAGCTCCATTTGCCTATTTTTCAACCACTTCAACAATAAAAAATACTGTATGAGCAAAAGCATTAACAAAAGAAACAGGATTCCACCTGGTAGTAAGGAGACAATGTAGTTGTATTGTTTTTATGATGTTTCACTCCCGTATGTCACCATTGCTTCGTGAATCTCACTGTTTAGACATTAATTGGTCAGGCAGTGTCTGCAAATGTAATTTTTTTCTCAATGACAT